TAGATATTTGGTTGATGGATCTATCAATCCAAAAACTCCATCATTTGACGTATTACTTTGGTGGAAAGATAATACTAATAGGTATAGCATTTTGTCTATGATAGCTAGAGATGTTCTTGCTATACCTATATCTATCGTTGCATCTGAATCCGCCTTCAATACTAGCGGTCGTATTTTAGACTCATTTAGAAGCTCTTTGAGTCCAAAAATGGTGGAGGCCCTTGAATGCATACAAAGTTGGTTGAAAGAGAATAATAAGGGGATTCAAATAAGTGAGTTTTTAGATGAAATTTCATCTTATGACTTTCTTGAAGAAGGTAAACTTAATGATGGTTATATAGTTACATTTTCTTAATAAATTGTTTAATATTCTTTTTGAATTGTAGACAAGCTCAAGAAGAATGCAACATCGGAGTCGGGAAGGTCAAAGACGGTCGTACTTGATTGAGCATTTAAATCGTACCAAATTATGTAAGTTTCGTTTAGGCTATGGGATGCATAGTTCTTCTTTTGTTGTTTTTAGCAGTAAGTTGTTCTTATTTATTTTGAACTCTTTGGTTGAGTAATGTTTCGTGCGACTCCTAATCTTCTATTTCACCAACTTTTTCAGGAAAGCAGTGTAGAACGAGATGGCATAAGGATTCTAATCTCCTATTGCACCAGCTTTTCCCAAGGACATACTTTGACATATGGAAATAGGAAGTCTGTTGTTCGTATCACACTTTTGATTTTTGAAAATTGATTTCAAGACTTAAGGATTTAGTCTTTAGATATATTTTTGGATGATTGTAATAACTAATGACTTTGTTAATATATTTTTAGTATTATTTATCATATTTCATTTGATAATTTTATGAGTTTTAGTAACCCGCCAACTCAACCCAACCCATCTTAACCCACAAAGGTTTGGTTGGGTTGAGTTATACTTTTGAATGAATTGGATTGAATTGTGATTTTTCAAACGATCATAATTGGATTGAGTTGAAAAAATGTCATAAACCTCCCACCCCAACCGTGTTCACCCCTACTTGTTCATATAAACGAACTTTCCATCCAACAATTTACGACCCGTTGGTTAAACGTTTGGATTAAAGTTACTCCACCAAAGAATGAAAAAGATTGGGATCCGGATGGCAGATTAAGCCACCGCGGAAACCCGAAACATCCCCCTTTATCCGCGTGAAGTGAGCCCACACAGACACAGAATTGGTGGTTTGTAGGGTTAATTACCCAAACAATCACACATTTATGCGATTTAACTATGGCCATGCCTGGCAGACGTCCCAATTACACCTTGTTGACTCAGATTCCCGACGACGATCACCTCCAACCGCCACAACCTCCTCCGCCCTCCATGTTTTCCGGCGGTACCGGTAGCGGTGGATACGACTCATCTCATCACTCTCACTCCGGGGAAAAGAAGAGGAACGAAAGAGCTGGATTTGATTGGGATTTGATGAACTTGTCAACTGATCAGAGGATGCAGCAGAATCGCCAGCCGGGTTTTCCGGCCTCGATCGGTGGCTTGCAGAGACAATCCAGTGGGAGTAGTTACGGTGAGAGCTCTATATCCGGCGATTACTTTGTTCCGTCATTGTCGGCGGCGGTGAATAGTGGCGGTGATCCCGATGCATATTCTCACTTGCCTGATGGAGGTGGTGGTGACGTGTTGAGGCTGAAGTCGTCGGAGGCTACTGGTGGTGGTGGAGGGGGAGGGTCTTATTCCTCGAAAAGTTGGGCACAACAAACGGAGGAGAGTTACCAATTGCAGTTGGCTTTAGCGCTACGTCTTTCATCGGAAGCTATGTGTGCTGATGATCCTAATTTACTGGATCCTGTGACGGACGAAACAGCAGGGTCGAGGTCGTCTGGCTCTTCTACTACATCTGCAGAAGCTTTGTCACATCGATTCTGGGTATGTGGTTGTATTATGCGTGTGTGTTTGCGAACATATTAAATACTAATTCTATGGCAGTATGATTCGTTTTGGTAATTGGTTGTATATCCTTGCATGAATACATAAATGGACAGCTAGATTTCATGGACGGGTTGAAAGAATTGCTCAGGGTTTCTTGCATTTATATTTCTTTGAAGGAGCCTAGGAGGGTTTAGGAAATGAAATTTAGATAGCATATTTGTTGTTCATTAAGATAATTTCTTGATGTATTTTATGGTAGGAGCCTAGGAAACTCTAGAAGGTTTCAGGACTGATATTACATAGCATAATTTTCGTTCTTAGAGGTGGTTTTCTTGAGATTGTGATTGTTTAGAAAGATTCTTGGCATGGTGATTTATCACAATGTATGCTGTGAAAGAAAGCGGAACACATATTACTGGAAGTTCAACCTGAATAAACCATGGAGAGATAACATGAAATTTGCTACTGTAGAATAAATAGTTAACAATGCTAAGGTGACATGAGGACAGCTTACTGTATAGACCAACAGTTGCGAAATAATACCGGCAATTTTGATGATTCATATGGAGAAGTTACGTTGAAGAGGGCATCCAGAAGTTCAAATCAGCAGTTTACCCCTGAACAGAAAATGAGGCATGGGCTCCCCGTTGATGGATGTGATTTAAATTGGTGTAGCATGCTTTCTTTCATCACAACTCACAAGGTTCAGTCACCTCAAGTAGAAGATTAGTTTGCCTCTATGGATAAATATATGACCTACCTTGCCTTAGAAATTAGTGATAGGTAATTTAATTTCACATTAGAGAATTATTGATTGTGCATACTAGGACATTTGTTTGCCAATTTTAAATTCTCTATAATACACTGTTGGGTGGATAGGGGTAACGAGGCGGCTTTGAACTTTTCTCTGACCTTATGGACATCACTTATTGTTTGGAAGTAATCGATCATATTTAAAACGAGTTTTATGGCTCATCTTGAGCTTACCTAACTTTCGAAAATCCTAGTTATGGGATCTCTTGCGACGGTTGTTGGATGGGTAATGGATTTCGATGTTTTGTTATGCTTTGTAAAAGCTATCTTTTTTTGGTCACAGGCTGTCTATTCAATAGTGAGCTCAAATTGTTAATCTATCCTATGTGCACTATGAGACAGAGGGGGAGAGAGGTTATATGTGATTTTTTTTCTTCTTTCCTTTTTAAATATTTTTGTTTAACTGAATGATGTGAGAGTAATATAACTAATGTTAAACATGCTTTTTTGAGATGCATGCTAGCCGTGTTAGGATTCAGGCCTGGGGACGTCATGTTTTTCTTTATACTCTATAAACAACAGACATACTCAAAAGCATCTTCATAAAAGAGTATATAAACTTTCAAGTTCTAAGAACTCTTCTATCTTGAACCTTGCAACACATAATTAAACTTTGCTTCATTTAAAACTTGCTGCATGTTCAACCCTTGCCATTATGGTCGGTGGCCAAACTTTTTTCTTTACAAGGATACTTTTCGAACTCTTGTCATTATGGCCCAAAAAAGCTATTTTCTTTACAAGGATACTTCTTCCAACCGTGCCATTATGCCCCAACAGCCAACTTAACTCTTGACAATGATACTTTCCAATCCTTGCCATTATTGCTCAAAAAGCCTTTTCTCAACTCTTGACAGTGACACTCTTCTAATCCTTGCCATTATGGCTTAAAGGCTAAGCCTTTCTTTGTACTTAACACCATTTAACTTTTTGACCAATCTCTTCTTTTACAACAAACGTCATACAAAACATGGAATGTGGCCATCACAGGCTTTAACTATAAATTTCTTATTCATGCTTTCATAACAAAATTTAGTACACAAATTCGAGCTTGCATTCAAGCATATAAACAATTTGTTTCTAGCATTAAACCTCATCAAAACATTTACAAGAAAACATATTGTTAATGTTTCTGTTTAAGATTGTGTAAACACATGCATCTTAGTGCTAGAAACAAAGCATGAACTCATTATTATCTCATTCTTTCTTATTGTAGTGTCTTTTAACCCACCTGCCTCCTTTCCTAGAAGTAACAACAATTTTCATCTCCTTGGTTGAGTGGATTGGCTTGGAATCATTAGTATGCAACTCAATACGGCATCAAAAGAACAATGAGTTGACTCACTTATCTTCTGAATTAGGCTACATAATTATCCTTGGATTTATGATTTATGTTTTCGCTAGCTTTCCAACAGTATCAAGTTTGCACTAAAACGATGATGGTATGATTTGGATTGATAAAAAACGTGAGCTTTAACATGCTTATACTTTAAATGAGAGTGAGATTTTGGTACTAATGGATTCATCTTGTTAAGTCCTTTTGAATGATTTACATGTTGGATTGTTGGTATTGTTTGACCATTGAATGAACCAAGTTTGCCATTGGACACTTTTTAGGGTGGTGATCTTGGCTTAATTTGGCTGATTTCAACCATTATTTTACAATCTAATCATAACTTTAAACTTACTTTCATCTTAATAATAGTAATTAACCATATCGTTGAGTTTATCTTTGTCCATTTCTATCAAAATACCTTTTGCTACTAATGCCATGAATCCAGGACTGATAATTAATCCTATAAAATCTCTTGCACACATCTTCTAAACATACGTGGAAATAAATTGATAAAGGTTAGGGCGAGATTTCATCTCATGGAATCCTTCCTCATTCCCCTCTTGTCATTCTCGGGTTATGTCTAGTGAACAACCTAATTTCTTTCTTCTCCTTTTCTTCAAACCTAGATAATGCTTTAATTCTTTATGCCTCTTTTATAACTATACTTTTTTAGCACCCTATGAATCAATTACTATCTCAATATAGTGGCATGGGTATTTATGTTGTGATACACACTTTATCTTCTGCAGGGGGTCTTCATCTAAGGTTGTCCAATGTGGCTGTTGACTTAGCCTGTTTCTTTTTATTTGGGGTTCTCAATTGATATAATACATGATTTGTCCTTGATGATATTGTTGATAATTATAATCTGTTATCCCCTGGGTACCGTGATGGTTCTTAGTCTACCGCTTAATATTAGTAGGGGTCAACATTGGAAGGCTATATTAGGAAGGTACAAGCGTATTATGAGTATAAATAAGGTGTTGGGAGTTGAGGGGAATCATTCTATTTTGTAGACGCTTTCTACATGAATCCTGTGGAGAGGTTCTGGCTTCTCGAAAGCCAGAAAACCCTTTTAATCATTCAGTTGTGAGGAATACAACCCAATCTTATCTCTGATTTTACTGTTCTGATCAAGTTCGTATCATAATCCTTTCTCTTAACATAATTAAGATATTTCCTCGATGTCATAATTTTATTTGTAGCCCTGTCAAACCAAACTTTGCATATTTTAAAAACTTTTTGAGATTGATTCTTGTTACATTTTTGGGGTCACATTTCCCAAGTCAATTTTGAGCCCTTCTTGCAACCCATGATCCAAGATTCTTTTGCTTGGGATTAAACCATTCATATATTCGATCTTGAAATTCTGATCCCGCTGAAGATCGTAGACAACCATTCCTTCAATTTCAGGTTTCCTAAAGAGAAAGATCTTGTTTTTTTAACAATTCTGTAATTGATCTCTCAGAGGAATTCAAACCTAGACAAACTTCTGATCATCTGCAAAGATAACTAATACTAGTTCAAGTTATCTCATAAATAAAATTAAACCAGCTATCCAATTAACAACCAGGAAATTGCACCGAAATGTAAAAAATGTTGACTAACCTTGCTAACCCTGAACTTGGTAAATCATTGATGTTGAGCTGAGCCTGACTTAACCGAGCTGATCTAGAGCTGAACTAGAGTTGATCCAGACTTTAACTAACTGAGCTTGGGCCTATCCTAACATAAATGACCCGATCGTGAATTGGTTTTATCTCAGCCTGGTTCGAGTGGTGTGACAAAACCACCATCATCACTTGTAGAAATTTGATGCTTGCTTACTGAGAAACTTGAACATCAAAATCTCTTCTATTCATTAAAGGGTTCCATATTCTATGAATTCTGATCAACTTACGAAAATAATGAACACCATTTATTATTGTTCACAAAGGTTAACAGGTTTGGTAAATCATTTCTCTCACCAATTTTCGTTGCGGTGGAATTTCTTCGTTCTCTCTTTGGTGTTCTTTTCCCTGCAAGGTTGCTACATATTACATAATATCCGTCTTTTCCTTAATTTATTTTATTTTGATTTCTGCCAACAATTATGGCCCAGTTATCCTTCAAATAAAGGCCTAAATAATCTTTGAAAGTAACATCCCAATTAAGAAGTAAATGATGAACTTGTCTTAGTGCTCTTAATGGTGGGATGTTTCGAAGAAGCAGTACTTTTTGTAAGCACCTTGAAATAGTATCTAAGGCAATTGTTGGAGAATTCGTGAAGTCTCTTTTTCGTGTGTTGTTTTGCTTGGTAAAAGTTCATTTATGTATTCAACCACAGGCATGTGTAGTGTGCAAAGAGTTGAATGGTATGTTGAAGGAGTTGGATTAAATCGACTTTGTCTTCTTCCCAACGATGAATCATTTATCATTGACTTATTACCACTGGTTAATAACTTTTTAGTATATCGCTTCAACACAGCTATGGTGGCAGACAGAGATTACTTGCATGTAACTTGTATAAAGATATGAAGGACAAAAGAAATTGATCTCTTGAGATCTTTATGCTTTCATGAATGTATAACATGTCTTGATCTATTGGGTTGTTTCATGCCGTAAGTAAACTCGAACACTCAAGAAATCTGTTGGGCAGGCAGATTCACATCTTGAAGATTTAGCTTGTATGAATCACTATGGGTTTGATACCAATAACGGGCCGCTTTTGTACACTTGAATGCAATTTGCTCCTGTTAGATAGATTGTGCAACATACATGTTAGATACATAATTTTACTGTTTTTTAGTTTTAAGTGCTATATAATGAACTGGCTACTCAATAACAAAAGCAGAAGTACAAAGTTGTTAAATGTTTACTTTCTGCATAAGATACCAGAGTGTAGAATTGATGTACATATATGCTCAGACTATTCATCTCGATATATTCCAACTCTAAGGGTTGTGTTGACCGTTGTATCAGGCAAATGGCTGTTTGTCATATTTTGACAAAGTCCCTGATGGGTTTTACTTGATATATGGAATGGATCCATATGTATGGATGATGTGCTGTGATATAAAAGAAAGCGGGCGAATTCCATCACTTGAGTTGCTGAAGGCCATTGATTCTGGCAGTGAATCTTCAATTGAAGTGATTTTGATAGACCGACGTAATGATCCCAGCCTCAGGGAACTACAAAACCGGATTCATAGCATTTCCTGTACTAGCATAACCACAAAAGAGGTTGTTGACCAACTTGCAAAGCTTGTCTGCAATCGGATGGGGTGAGATTTAGCTTGTTCCATAAGGGATGCTACTTTGAGAAATATATTCATCTTTTATATCATCTTATGATTTTATTTTCTTGTTATCAAAAGGGGTGCAACTTTAACCGGAGAAGATGACTTGGTTTCAATGTGGAAGGAGTGCAGTGAGGATCTCAAGTATTGTCTAGGATCTGTCGTACTTCCAATGGGTAGCCTCTCTGTTGGCCTTTGCAGACATCGGGCTCTACTATTTAAAGTATGTTGTAGATGTATATTGTTGTAAAATAATAATCTTAACTTGCGGGAACTTGACTTCGTTTTCAGAAATTTTGGTTGCTTCTGTAGTCTTCTGATATTTTCTGCCACAGAAAGCCTGCTGAAGGAAACCATGATGGTAAAATCCTTGCTACTGCAAGCATAACAAACCTGGTATTACATGTAACAAAATTACATTTTATACAAAATCGCTAACACAACCAAAACCCGAGCAGCAGGACTGTTTTACTTGTGTCTAAACAATCCTGTTCTCTTATTCCATCCACTCACATTCTGAACCTCCCTCTCTCATGCAAGTTGCAACTAAAACATGCATAGGTGCCAACTAAAAAGTTCCTGGTCTACTCTTTCTCGACACTGGAAACAGTTTAATCTGTCATAACTTTAGTGAATCTGGTGATTAAGTTTCTGTACTCCGGAAATAACAAGAGATTGAATAAGAAGCAAGCAAATGAAGACCAAGAACACAACCAACAGAAACATCATACCAAGATATTAACATCATATTTGACGCTTCATTTCTAAGTCAATAGTACACTCATACTTAGGAATCCTACCAAAGTGTTAAGATAAGAGTGACAAGAGATCTTATGGAATATTGAGAAGGGGTTGTTTGAAAACCATAAAAAGAGAGATGCTGCTTGTGTTTTGGGATTTCTTTATCAGAATGGCACAATTTTGTAAGTTGCTATAATTATAAGTATTGCAAGCAGTAGCAAGGACTTCTCCTATGTCATATATTGCTCCAAGGTATTTCTATCTGTGGTTGTGTATCACTAAATGTGGCCCACATTTTGATATTTCAACTCATTGCTTCTGTTTAGGAGTTCAACAGTAATTTCATATGTTCTTTATTGTGAATTGTAACAGATTTTAGCCGACACGATTGATTTACCATGTCGAATTGCCAAGGGTTGCAAATATTGTAAAAGAGATGACGCCTCATCTTGCCTTGTCCGTTTCGGCGTTGACAGGTAAACCTTGACGGCTTCAAGCATGCGTAGCACCTACCTTTATGTTTGCTATTTATGGAAGTTAACCACAAAAACTTTATGATGGGGGACTTGTCCTATCAATATCAAGAACAATATGATTTTAATATCTTCTATTATAAAATGTCAGTTTAGGCTTATATATCACTGCCTTATGCTATTTCTTTTGGAAATAAGATATGCTGGAAATGACTGTGTTCAATATCAAGTAACATTAATGTCGCTTGTTCTTCTTTTTCTCTGTAATTTTTCTCTGCTAGTTAGGGCTGAGGCTAGTTCTACCCAGACAATGAGGAGGGCCACGGTCAGCATAACTTCTTTTTGTGATGAAACTCATGAATTACTGACCCTTTTACCATCATTAATCTTTAGCGACACAAAAGGATACCTTTTAGGGACTTCATTGTATAGAATATACTTCTGTTAAAAGCAGAAAATCTGTTTGGGATTTTTAAACAGAGAAGGATGGAACATATGTTCTATTTTAATAACAAACTTTCAACATTTTGGTTCTGTAACTGAACTATGAATATATGCGGGACAGTTGGGAATCTTATTCTTTTAACTGAAATACTAATTTTTTGGTGGAAACAACATGAGTTAACAGTGATCTATGTTCTTCTGCATTCTCTTTACCATATTCTACTTTGTCTTACTAAATTTGGGCACATAAGTGCATGAATAATTTCCAAGAATGTGCTTCATGTTTTTGCATCTCAAGTGTGTGTGATTATATGATGTGCCTTTATTGTTTTGGTTTTTAAGCAATTTGATTCGCTGTATCATTGGCTGCTCGGTTAAAAAGTGTGGAACCTATTGCATGCATTGGTGCTTTATACCACTTATAATGCCTTACCCTGCACATAAGATCACTGGGAGTGGAGCAACTGAGCTGCAACACCCCCCCCCCCCCCCCCCCTCTGACACTCCATGGACATACACAGTAAGAAGGTGGGAGGGGAGTTAAGAGAATTTATTATTTACTGAGAGTAGTATGAGGAGCTGGATTGTTGCTGACTTGCTTTCTTTTTGGCAGTGGAATAGTGAAATTGTGAGGAATGAGAACTGAACTTTCACTTTCTTACTGGAAACTCATACCTGTTTATCATTTAAGAGCTGTATGTGACTACAGTTCTTTATGGGCTGGAGGAAAATCTCCTAAGCCAAGAGAGGAAGATAGATATAGAATTGATTGGGAAGGGAAGAACTAGTAATCCTTTTAAGAGATAGTGTGGATGATGACTTGGCAATCCTAGTTCATTGGAGGAAGCTGGGGCTGGTCTAGCTTTGTGTGAATGGCTGAAGTATGGAATTGCTAGTCATTTTCTTCTGGAAACTGCTAGTCCTTGCTGGCATCTTAAGGGTGTGTTTGGTACGTTGCACAGGGTGGGACAGGACAGGACAGAACACAATTGTCCTATGTTTGGTGTGGCCTTATGTTGGACTCACTAGAACTAGCTAGAACACGGGTGGGACAAGCCTGTCCACCCTTACCCCCTGGAACTAAGTGGAACAAGAAATATTTTACCTATCTACCCTCTCAAAACCCTTCTTCGCTTCCACCGTATACTTCACGAATCGTTCCCCTTCAATCGGCGGTATCGATTGCAAGCGTCACCCTTCTTCCCCTTCAATCGGCGGTATCGATTGCTGGACAGTAATCGTCAGATTTCACGAATCGTTCTACCTGTTTCTATCGATTGCATTTTGTTTGCTGTTTTGTATCGATTTTGCCACTGGATTTCACACGATTTTGCTGTTTCTATCGATTTTTCTGTTTTCAATCGGCGGTATCGATTTTGCTGTTTCTATCGATTTTGCTGTGACGATTGCATTTTGTTTGCTGTTTTGTATCGATTTTGCCACTGAATTTCAATCGATTTTGCTGTTTCTATCGATTTTGCTGTTTTCAATCGGCGGTATCGATTTTGCTGTTTCTATCGATTTTGCTGTGACGATTGCAGTTTGTTTGCTGTTTTGTATCGATTTTGCCACTGGACTGTAAAATTGATTGAAGTTGAAGGTTTTAGGGTTTAGAATCCGATGTCGTCTTCTCAAGTGGGTTTAGGAGTATGGTAGATTAATTTGATCATGGTGGTTAGAATTCTGGGATTGACTCACTGGGGGTAAATTGGTCATTTTAACCAGTTCTGTCCAGTCCTATCATGGCTTACCAAACGCTGAACAGCTGCCCTGTCCTGTTCTGTCCTGTCCCTTCCTGTCTGCGTACCAAACGCACCCTAAAGGTACAGAACAGCTGCTGGAGATGTCTGTCAAGATTACCAGAGAAAAGGAAATGGAATGTTGCTTTTGTGGTGAAATTTAGATTAAGGCCAATTAAGAACCTGTGCAGAAAACCAAAGAGATCATAAAGAAGGGTTTGGATAAAAATAACATATAAAGGAAACTGAAACATGTGTCCGTGCTTCTGCACTTATTTAACAATGTCTTAGCCTGCACAATAGGGTGCCAAGACTTGTGCACCTGAGCCAGAAACACACATTTTACACCATTAACACATACAGTGAGAGGGACATGGTGTAGGGATGATGACTTGGCAATCTTAGATTCTTAGTCCATGGGAGGAAGTCTTGTGGTTGGTCTAGCAATATGTGAATGGCTAAGTGTGGGATACTAGTCCTTGCTAGCATCTTGGCGGTAAAACCAAGTTGGTGCAGAAATTTATAGGGGGGAGTCCTGCCTTGGTTACCAGAGAAGGGAAAGCAGGGAACTAGAATATATGTTGATGTTGAAGTTTAGATCAAGACCAATTAACAAGAATAGGAAAAAACGGACATGATAATGAAGATTACAGATAAAGGAAAAAGTAGAGTAGAGCAAGGCAAATTGACATGTTATTTTTTCTGAGTTATGATTGTGTATATCAACATACAATGTACTTTTTGGAGGCAATCTAGCTGGCTCACTGACTAACTTCTTTTTCTTCCTAGACTTGCACAATACTAGTTTCCTGCGTTTTCCAAGATAATTTCTCATCCCTGCTCTAAACCGAAAAGGTGAAATGGCTGAGTGGTGGGCTTGCCAGCTTCCTTACATTCTGGGTAGGCTATGGTCTATTTTAGTGCCCCTAGCAATCAATTCTTTGTGGAATGTTGAAGGCACAAGATGATGATAATAATCTTGTCATTGTAATTATGAAAGCAATTGTGATGTCTATTTCTTTTGATAATCAATATGAGAAAAGTAAATGATGCAGATCCATTATCACAGCGGAGTTGCTAACTGCTAAGAAGCCCCTATTAAACACCAGCGATTCATCTGGTCAGCTAGTTAGTGTGGATGAAAGAACAACCCTGTTTGTCTCTATCTCTGTGTGTGTAGTGTGTACCTTAGCTAGGCACCTCTTTTTTATACATATAGATAAGCAGATAAAGTCTAATTCTTATGCAGGGAGCTCCTTGTTGATCTGATTGGGAATCCGGGATGCCTCTGTGAGCCTGACTCTCTACTAAATGGTCCATCTACGATCTCAATTTCTTCCCCGTTGCGCTTTCCACGTTTTAGACAAGTTGAACCCATGGTTGATTTCAGGTCACTAGCCAAACAATACTTTGCTGATTGTGACTCTTTGAATCTTGTATTCGAAGATCCATCTACTGGTAAGTTGCTTTAAAATATTGTGTGCATCAATTTAAATATAGTGTCTTCGACGTTAATTGCTCTTTATAATGTCTTGCATGCAAAGTAATCTTTGTTTAAAAGAATATTGAATTTTTTGGATAAATCTATACTATATTATAAAGCATTTGACAAAAACTCTTAAAAACCATTTTTTATACATGAAGTACTATTTATTGATGCATATTACTTAAAATTCAAGGTTACAAGTAAATTGTGCGTAAGTACAACTTATTAAAGTTTCATGTAACTAACTGCAGATAAACATAATTAAATAAAGGATAAACATCTCATTTTAAATATAAAAAATCTAAAATATAATTAGGATAATCATTAACTTCTAACAAAATACTTAATTATTATCTTTATAAAAAATTATATTATTAAACCAAAAATTAAAAAAATAATTAAAGAAATACACAAAAAGGGAGAAATTTTAAATAGTTAGTTTGGTATTAATATCAATATTTTTTTTAATTTTTTTTATCATATCTCCATACTTATATTTTATTTAAAAATGAAAACATTAAGCTTTCTCAAAACCACATAAAACCGTATTATAACATCAACTGAGACAAAGAAAAAACGAAACATTAAAATCGAGATGTACTGCTACATTGTGCGAGTACCCTTCTAGTATTAAAAATACAAGTGTATTCATGATTATGATAAGTTTAGTGCATTTGTGGTTCTCTTTGAATTTGCATTCTCTCATGCACTTTGCATCTAGGGTGTACAAATTTTGTACAAAAGGATGATGGTCCTGTGAGTTGTACTTGACCTAGGTTACTTTTGTAACCGTAGTCAATGCATGCTTCCAGTTGTTTCATGTGCAACTGGGTATAATGGAATCCTTTTACATGATTATTTGTGCATTTTCAAATTCTTAAAAGCTTGGCTTTTAGTGAGTGTTTTTGTTGTGTTCAATTTAAAGAAAGACTGCAGGTTTTGATGTGAGGAGGAAGTTCAACTGCTCAAGCTTATTAATTGGAATGAATGATGTATATAACTTTGTGCATGTTTAAGTTAAGTATAATTGTTTGGCCTGCCAGCTTAAGCTTTGACGGGTTGGTGACTAACAATAAATTTTTCGTAGACCACAAAAAACACATCCACATAAATATATCATATTGACAGTGGCTTTTAGATATTAAATAATAAAGTAGTCACTAGCCGTGACGTTTTCATGTTAACAGTGACCTATAATTGCAAGTACAGTAATTATGATGAATATACGTATTGTTGCATCCTTGTTTTTAAACCACATAGCATCAGTTGGTTGCTTAAGAGTTATTTCTATGCTGTCCCATTATGTAGTAGACTTGTCATAAGTAGTTCTTGTATCTATTATGTGTTGATATGAGAAGTAAAGCTGGATTTATTGTTGAACCAGAATACCAAATCTTAAGGCTTTCTTAAGTGTTGTTTTATCTGCTTTGTTCTCATGTTCATCATTCTTCGCATGCTATAAACCTTGATTTACTGTTCATTCGAACTGTCAGAGCGACCAGATGACTTTTCTCTTCTCCTTTTCTTTTAAGTTTACAAGCTCAATGTGACTTTTGTTGTTCAAATGTTCATTTTTCTAATTAAAAACCGATGTGAATTTAAATCACTTTTCCCATTAATAGCTTTAATATCAGTGCTATATTATCCTTGTTTACATTGGCATTAGATTAACTTTCGTCTATTTCCAACTCTGGAATAATGATCTGAATGACAAAAAAAAGTCGAAGTGAGACTGTTGTTTTTGCAATGAAGGTGGTATAATCTATCATCGATAAAAAGTAATGTGACGCCTGTTGTAAATTGGTAGATGGGGGACACTGTTGTCTGTGAGGACTGTATCCATAGGTTATCAAGTACATTATCAGTAGGGATGGCAACATGGGGCAGATGGGTTCAAGAGAGAACTGAAACAAAATAGAGAACAACGGAACAGATCATGAGTCATGATCCTTCATTCAATTTAATCAATGGTAGATTTTGGATGTGGCATTTTGGTAATTAATTGGATAATTAAATGAAAATGTATGGATTAATTAAATAGATTCAATTGCATTTTCCTTTTCTTTTCTAAATTAAAATATATTTTACCTCACTTTTTAAGTTTAAACGATCTTGAATAAATTTATTTTTTTATGTAAACAAATTATATAGAATATTCTCTTCAATTGGATACCATATCGATATATTTTTTTAACCGGGTCTTTAAAATCTCAATCTGAGTATATTCACATGTGATGTGAATATACATTAAATGTGACTAAGGGTAATATACATTACATAAATAACCATGAGTCCATTCACATGTGAATATGCATTACATGTGACTATGAATATATTCACAAGTGACTATACACTACAAGTGGTGGTTGAACATGACTTGTTAATTTGAAGACTCAGATAAAAGAACCCGAAAAAAATATATCTATATGGGTGTTAAATTAAAAAGAATAAAATGTTCGTTTTTTGGTATAATTTGTTCAATTCAAAATTAATTTTAATTTAAATATTGTAGATTTAAAAATACGGAGGTAATCCATTTTAGTTTATAAAAAAAATATCTAATTGTAAATTAGGAAGGATGGTTCAAATTAACTCCATGCTTTCTTTAATTAAAAAATCATCTAATAGGAGCCATAAAATTGTGTTAGATGGATGGATTTGATATGTTTCCATGTTCTTAATTTTTTTGGGTTCTTTTGAACCCACTCTTGTGCGTATATTATGTGTGTGTATACAGATATAGATGTGTGTATGTATATTATGTGTGTGTAGATATATATGGGGGTCAGGTTTAGGGGAAAACGGGAAAAAAAATGAAAAACTGAGGAATACCCTGGTATCATTCATCTGGACAGTATGCACATGTGCATACAAGTAATTTGTAATTATTTTGTCTGGTATGCACATGTGCATAAAAACCAAAAAACAGCTTCAATTACTTGTATTCACATGTCCATACCGTACAGATGAACGGTAACTAGAGTGTTCCTCAAATTTTCATTTTTTTGGGGTTTTCCCCTGAATCTCCCTTGATGTGTGTACATTATATTGAATGCTATAATAGTTAAAAAATTCATAGTTTGTGCATTTAACTTGTATTTTTTTTAAGTTCAAATATATGCTAGAAATGCATTGAGGCAAAAATGGGCTTCATCTGATTATGAGCTGGATCATTGGTAGCATGGTAGATTCGGGTTCAGAGGGAAACAGGGCAGGGTTGTGCATATAGAGAAATGGATCCCATCCCATACCCTTGTCATATATATCACCTTTGTGTTGGATGCCCAACTTTCCAGACAGTGGGCAGTATTGTCTTCTCTCTAACCAGTAACATCCGAGCCAAAGGTTCATTAGCCCAGCAGTATCTTGGTTACCTGTGGAGCCGAACCTCCTAGGAGGTCGAGTGTGTGTGAGTTTTGCCTATATAAGTATTATACAATTCCAAAAAAAATCCAAGCCAAATAAAAAAGATCTTACTATTGTGGGATAACCATAGACGAGAGGTAAATTTTTTTTCTCTGAAAATGGAATATGGAGTAAAGTTTGTTGAATTGCTTAAACACAGAACCTAATACATCCAACCTTTACATCCTCATAAGATGGCCAAACGAAGATGGGATGATTGAAGACTCTCCACTTGTGTGTAATGGGTACAGAAAAGCCCAATCTCTCAGCTATTGTCATCACCATCATCATATGTCCTTCCCATTCAACTAGAAAGATATAATTGAAGTGGGTGGATGTAGTGTGGGAATAACATCGCTTTGCCATCAGACCTCCTATGTTTTACAGGCATGGTTAGTATAATTTGGATATCAAGTCCTTGCAGCTAAAATCAATAAAGGATCAAGACGGTTGCTGATTTAATAGCTTGGTAGACTATTCGACTTAAAAATGAAATAGATCTGGTTTTTAATGTTTTTTGTTTTAAAGATGATGTTGTATGCTTACTCTTATGTTGGCTGCACCAGTTATAGTTTAATCTCTTGCTTCTAATGCTATAAGGTTGTGTTTTTCATCTTGATGAACTTCTATCTGAGAGGGTATTGTCATTCTTTCTTACTATTTTCCTTGATTATGTTTATGTTATGTGGTGATTGCATATATCATCAACCATAACGGAGGCTATATCAAATTTGCTGGAATGTTACCTCCTATGCAGTAATGGAATTCCCTTGAAAGAATTATAATCGTTGTCAAAATATGTGTGCAGATTTTTACATAAGGAAGATATAACTGCTCAGAAAAGAACTATTTAATTAGTTAATGCCTAGAAATGTGATCTCTTTTTGTGTTTCTCTTTGCTTGGATCCCACTTAACTTTCTCTTGCTTCATTTTTTACATGTACTATCTTGGTATAAATTTTTGAGTAAATTCTATTTATGCTGGTGTTGCCTTTTAAATTGGAAGGTCATTATGCGATACCAAAATGGACCAAACCATTGATGCAAGTGCGTGTCTTCATTTGGAGACTTCAATAGTCCTACATTTGATGTGGTACAAATATTGTCATTGGCAGAAGACCCCCAGTCCCTTGTTCATTAATGTTTCTTCATAAATGTTGCGATCTTGCTTTTTCGATTAATTGCTGAGCGTTGAGGTTTCTGATGGTATGACTACAGGTGATGGAGATACTGGGGATGCCGTTTATCCTAAGCAATCTGATAAAAATCATGCTGACATCAATATTGCTATGCGTAGTCCAAGCAACAGCAATGAAGGCTCTCGTTTACCTCCTTCCAAAGCTGCCCGCCCCAAAGGTCATGATAGAAGTTCACAGCTTCCCAAGGCATATCCTCAGAATGTCATAGGCACAACAAAAATGGTTAACGATATCTCTTTGCAACATGTGGGCCCAACTGGGCATAGGGATTCCCAATCATATGTATTATCTAATACAAGGATGGAGGTGGCTAATAATCAGAGGTTTGAGGGGGGTCAACTTGTTCCACATAAGGCAAGTGGAGATTTTACTCTTGATGTGGAAGATTTGGACATTCCTTGGAGTGATCTGGTTCTAAAAGAGAGAATAGGAGCAGGTAACCCCTTTGATTTCGACAACACTTCAGACTGTAAATACAAGAGGAACTAAAGTCCTTGCCGGTTGTTTATAAGGAAACCTACTTAGACAAGTCATTATGTGTTTTCAGGTTCTTTTGGTATTGTTCATCGGGCTGATTGGAATGGCTCTGTAAGTAATATGCTCTTTCTTATTTTAATTATGTTGTTTGCCTATTGTGGTTTCTTGATTGCATGTGCAGTTTTGGTTATTTTTGTATTTTTTAGGGTTGAAGGATAAGAATTATATGCATTTTAATATCGATGCATAGTAGTGGGTGTAGTAGTGAGAAGTAAGCAAAGGTACCTATTGTTTACTTAAGAAAGTTTTGGCAACATGCCATATTATTTATAATAGATTTGATCTCATGTGGTGGGAACACATAAATCGCTAGAATGATCTTTTTCCCAACAACCAATACCTAAAGATTAAGAAACATTGATACAGATGGTGTTGAAAACTATCCCATCGGACTTCCATTGCCATATTTCAAGGAAATAAGTCAAAAGTTAAGACACCTAATAGCTGGAATGTCGATTCCCCAATAGTGAATCTATCAGAATTTTTGCTTAAGTGTGATACTAAATATCACGTGCATTGAGAAAACTAAGTGGGTCTTGAGGTCCACTAGGAAGAAAGGAATATAGTTTATGATATATAAATAGTGTGAGGGTGTGATAGAGACGATAACAGGAATATCAAACCGCAAACTGGAACAAAATGGATTAAGCCATTGGATTACTAGAAATCAGGGAATACAAAGATAAAATCAAAAGGGAGCCAAAGGTTGGACTGCACTCCTGCCCAAGCTGAATAAGCTGACCTCTCTAACAGAAAAGCTAAATTCTCACATGACCCCTTATTGCTAATGTAATTCATATTTATTGTATTCCTCCCCTCATAACAACTCCTATCATATTAGCCCTACACCTGTCCCCTTCCTCCTACGTTGATTAACTTTCCAAGGCCTTGAGTAGTCATCCAGTATTTGGCTTGGGCTAGTGGGCCGATCTCTATCATTGCTGCCGTCTTGAAGAGCAGGCTTGTCCTCAAGCCTGAAACTAGGGGACTGAGACTTAATGGTGTAGGCATCCTCCCAAGTTCCTTCTTTGATGCTACCATTTTCCCACGATCCTTCATGAATTTCCTGTAGTACCCTGTTATATCAAGAAATTCCCAGATAGCCTTGGTATTTTTAAGGATTGGCCAATCTTGAAGGCCGAGATCTTAGACAGGTTCATTGACCTTCCATGGCTATCAATGACGTATCCCAGGTATTCAATTGATTGGCGACCGCAAGTAGTTTTCTTCTGATCACGTGTCTTTACAAGGATCACGGGGCTGGAATAAGCACTTAGGCAAACTCGGATAATCCCCGATTAGAAACCACGTCGCTGAAGGTTCTTAATCATGTTATGCCGAGAATCATATCCAAGGACCCTAAATCGTAGACCAAGGCATCTATGATACAAGTAAAGGCCCCCAATTGTGTTGAGAACCCCTGGCATCAGAGATGCGAACTCAAGGTACCGTCGGTAAAACAGATTGAAAGAGGGCTTGTTTGTTGAATTTCCAATCCTAAAGCCAGGACCAACTGTTTTTAGATGAAGTTATGTGTTGCCCCACTACCAACCAAAATTAGAGAAGGTACGCCCCGTAATTCCTTGACTAGTTTAAGTGTTTTCAAGGATGGAGAAAGGTCTGATGCAAATCCATAGAACTCAAGGGCATTACATTCCCCATCTAAGACCGGATCATCATTTCCTTTTTCCTCAATACAACGAATTTCACCATCCTCGCCTAACTCCTCACCACCGGCCAATGAAATCACCGGGAGTTGTGTGCATTTATGTTGAGGATAATATCTTTGCCCACAAGTTAAACACAACCCTCTTTTCCGTCGATCCTCCCATTCCTGCTTAGTAAGATGTCGAATTCCCGAATCCCGATTGACATGCAAATTGGTTTTGGTCGTATCACAAGGTTTGGATTGGGCCTGGCCTGTAGGGGTATTGGGTCGATTAGGCTGGAAGTGGGCCGAATTAATGGAGTTGGGCCATTCTAAGTTGGATCAAATCTCGCTGGTTGTACTTCCAATAGTAATTCTGGGTAAGACCATTTGGTTTATGGTTGACTGTCGACTTACCCTTTCTAACACCCCTTACTCCACATTTGCATTTAACATATATTTCATATAAAAGAAATATAGATTACACCATATAGGTCCCACTGGTACAAGGATTCTCTATGTACATAATTTACATATGAAAAATTCCAAAAGAATATCCCTGCACTATCACATGTATAGCAACATGTATCTTCAAAATATACAGGCATCGGGCTGATTCATAAAGTAGATAACACAAGGAAAATAATTATATTTTCCCCTTCCCCTTATTATCCCGAGATCCCGCAGTTCCTGCAATGCACATTTTCAAAATACAAAAATGAGGGTTAGACTGGAAGGTCTAGTGAGGAAGTCCCTTCTTTGCAAATGCAGGGTGAAGATCACCAAAACCTGATAAAACATCTTTTATATAGAGATAAATGTATTTTAGCAAAAACATGCAAATATGTTTTTTAACCAAAATATAAAGTCAACAGATTTCTACAGCACATATCACAAATGTAACATCTTGGAACTCTGAATCTCTTAACAAATTTGCAATAAAACTCTTCTGGCTCAACGGGCCAGAGCTCCTTTGCCCTTGATTACTAGAGCCTCTGGTTCTACTGACCAGAGCCTCTGCACTCAACAATTCGACACTCAACCAGAGACCTTCCTGGACCCACGGAGTCTCTGGTCCAAAAAGGACCTATCTAAATTTTGAAAGACAAATAAGCTATAACCAGAGCTCCTCTGGTTCTTTGTTTCATTTATAAATATTTTTGAAGCAAAGATTTAATTTTAAAAGACAATGCACTGATACAACGTTTAGACACAGAGCTCGGGTACAGAGCTTAGACAAAAATACGAAGTAACTATTTTCAAGATACAGAGCTTCTGTATAATACATACAGAGCTTCTGGTTCATAAAATTCCCAAAACATTTTAAAGTCTTTCCATATGATCAGAGGTCCTCTGGTCCTTCTAAAAGACCAACCAGAGCCTCTCTGCACCATTCTCACATTTGTTCAAACTTGATAGAAATCATTTAGAAATCATAGGCAATTGATGCCTCTGGTTATAAATCGTTTTCCCCTTATGAATAACATCAAAGTTATTATTTCTAAAGAGAACAATACCTTCAAATCATCAAGTCACAAAGAAATGTTGATTTAGAATTATTGTATCTGATAGTGATAAACAAGAGTTATAATATTAACTACACCAGCAATTGCCACCCTTATATCCATAGGTACACTTCTCCTTGATATGCCATCCTTATTTCTTCTTCAAAACAGGGTTCCTTACCAGAACAGACTTATGTCACCACGTCTGGAAGTACCCAAAACCTAGTTCCAAGCCAGAACAAACATATATCACCACGTCTGGGGGAACTATTTCTTAAAACAAAGTTTCATACCAGAACAGACTTACGTCACCACGTCTGGAAGAAACATTTCAAAATAGAGTTTCGAACTCACCACATCTAGAAGAAACATTTCCCAAAACATAGTTTCAAACCAGAACAGACTTATGTTACCACGTCTAGAAGAAACATTTAATATCTTTTTCCAATTTATTAAAAGATATAAAATACCCTTTTCACAATACAACAGATTAAGCAGATATTGTGAAATCCCATCATTACATAAATCAAAGTTTAATTAAATCTCATTCACCAATCAATTTATGTACGGACAACTCTGTCCGGACAAGCTTATCTGGACAACCTTAGCCGGACACCCCTAACCGGGCAGCATATAAAATACTCTTTGGACTAGGGGTGAGCAGCGGAACCGGGTACCCGGCTATGGAACCGGAACTGCCTTGGAACTGCCGGTTTTGGAACCGAAACCGATATGAGTGGTTCCGGTTCCGGTTCCTAAAATACGGAACCGATTGAGAATGGTTCCGGTTCCGGTTCTCAATTTTTTGGAACCGTTACCCGCCGGGGACCCGGTATTTTTAAATAAAAAATTATTATTATTTTTTAATACCAAATTTATATTAGGTTTACATCTTGAAAGCACGCCGTCATCTTCATTCTTCATCTAAATTCTTCATATAGAATGATTCGTATTTTTTTAAATTGTGTGTTCACTTGGATTCATAATATGTAATCATTAAACTTTGAAAATTTACCATTATAATATGTAATCGTTAAACTTTGAACATTTTCTATTAGTCTATTATGGTTTGTAATCGTTAAACAATATTTGTAACCATTATTATATATAATTTGTATTCTTGCTTATTTATTTAGTGTTTTGGCAACGTTTTATTTTTTATTTCTAAATAACAAAATTTTAATATTTTAGGAAGCGGGTACCCGGAACCGGAACCGGAACCGGTTCCCGGCGGTTCTGGTTCCGGTTCCAAAAATTTAAGAACCGCTCTAACCGGTTCCGGTTCCGGTTCCAATATCTCAAGAACCGCCGGTTCCGGTTCCGGTTCCGGTTCCTATTAAAAAGGGCGGGTACCCGCCTATGCTCACCCCTACTTTGGACTATGAACAACTATCCGGACGTCACTCAAGCAGATACACTCTTATCGGACAACAAGTGTCCGGATACAACTCTCATCCGGTCAACACGGTGTCCGGACACACCCTTATCGGACGACATTGTCCGGACACACCCTTATCGGACAAGTGTCCGGGCATACTCTAATCCGGACAACTTTGTGTCCGGTGAAGAGACCATATCGGTCAATGGAGTTCAATAAGAACATATACAACATTTTCAAAACATAGATCATCATTTCAAAGATATAAAACCAGTAATCAAAGCCGGATTCAAAAGCTATTTTTAAACAAGACTCACCTTATGCAAACTCAGGAATTTGAAGATGAAAATAGCAAATACGAATCAGTCTTGATCCCAAGTTCAGTTTCCAATTTTGGCAAGCAATACACAATATGCTTTACTCTCTTGATTTCCTTCCAAAAATGGCAAAAGAAACTTTTTTTCCAAAAATTCCTTATTTACACCTTTAAAAAGAAAGGCGGTCATAGGAAGAATTAAAA